TATATACACGTATATATACTTCTAAAAGTCGTGTATCATGCATAGGAACGTTGACGCCTGCAAGGCTCTGGTTAAAGCATCCAATTTGCAAACGCACTAGATTTCCGGGTGGGTTACTTTAACAATGGAGTTATTGATAAGATTTAGGGAACCGTGCCTTTAGAAAAACAAACAATAGGCCCACGTTACAATCACTTTTGGAAGAATCTGTGTCATACTTGCTGTTCAGGATATACTGACATGAAGATTTTTTGTGTAAAGCATAACAGTGTCTATTTATATATTTTATAGGTTTATGTCCCATCAAATGGCGTTAAAGGTTTTCAGGAGAATTATTTCATCATGAATCAACTAGAAAAATATCGAAAAGATCCTATATCTGAAAAAAGGCGCCGGAAACTAAGTTGCAGACGATGTAACAGAAATTCTCCAGCCGAGGCCTGGTGCGTGGAGTGCCGGACGTTCATATGTATGCGTTGTATACGCGCGCACAACGAACACCCTCTGGTCACTCATGAAGTTTGTCACTTGACAAGGCTGAATTCGTCGATGAGACGAAAGGTAGCTCAATCCAGAGAACGATGTCTTCACCATCTTAAAGAAGGTGTCGAATACTTCTGCCAGAAACCTGGATGTAATAAGCCAATTTGTGAAAAGTGTCTTCAAAATGAACACAACGAACACAACCACGACGTTACATCTTTGACCGACCTAGTTACGAGATACAAAGAAGAACTACAACGACTGATGCAAGACGTCAAAGAAAAAGAAAGAGTTATGTTAAAACAGTCAGAGAACATCCAGTTGGAAATCAAAGAATTATCGAATATGATGAATGAAACAGAAATGCAGGTAGGCATATTTTAGATTATGTTATCACACGTAGTCACATGTCAAGTGCGTTCTAATGGTTGGTGGTCGCATCTATGGAAGCATTACCTGCGCATTGCAGCCAGTTCAACATACGTTGGAGAGCTCAGTGATAAAGATGCTTGCATTGTTAACATGATAGAAAGTAGAACGTGGGTTCATCAAACACGCACCATTTTAGTACCGGTATTAATTATGTAAAAAGTATCGACGTTTAACGAAATTTGACATAAAGCATACATTAATATCGGCATGCATACATCATTATCAACAATTCGTATTGTGTCTTCCTTTGTAGATCAGAGAATTCTATAACGAATGCCGACAGCGGATTAACCAACAAGAACAGAAAGCCCTTTCTCAGCTTGGTGACTTAAGATCGTTCTGGTCGACATCTCTTTGCAAGCAGCGTGATGATGTCACCCAAACTTTGTCTCGCATCTGCGCAGGATCGACATTTACCGCCAACTCGATGGAGTATGGTAGTGACGTACAGATCGCCCGATCTCAACCGCTGATGAAAGCTCGGCTCCAGGAATTGTCGTCAATGGATGTGGAAATTCGCCCGCAAACAATAGGTGCCCTACATTTCGACTGTAATAAACAAACAGTATTAGATGTAATTGAAGACATAATAAAAAACGGGTCTGCCATTATTGCCAGCACCGTATTTCCACGAAACACACGGGTCTCTGTTCCATCTGCCCTCGTACATACTGATTGCGTAGTAACAGTGGAACCAAGAGATAAATATGGTAACAAATGTGGTAGTTTAGTTGAAGGAGACATTTTTACTGAGTTATCGTGTGAACTTTTTTGTAATGAATCAATACAACATTCTTTGCGAAATAATGGAAAAGGCTCGTTTGAAATTTTATACAATCCAAAATATATCGGAGAGCATAAACTAGGGATAAAGATCCTCGGTAAGAGTTTAGAGAAGAAATTTCCCATTCGGGTCTATCCGTTTATCTTACACCCGCAAATGGGTTATAAGGGCGAACTTTGCTACATTATTGTCGAAACACCGCACTGCACCTGTCCTGCTACCCCTCACAACATTATGGTCGATGACATCTCAGCTGTACGAATAAAGTCTCCTTCTGGCCGGAATTTAAGTTACAATATTCGAGATAATCGTGATAATACGTATAGTATTACATTTAGACCAAACGAACATGGTGAACATACCGCTGACGTGAGTATCAACTGCAAAGCAACATTTAGTGTTGAAAGAAAAATTGTGAAAATGAATATAGTGAATCGCGTAGAAAGTTTGTTGCCACCGTCACGGTACGTGGCGCGTCGTAGTCCTATCCTTACTCCAAGAGCCAACAGTCCACGTATCAGCCCAAAGCCGAGCCCAAAGTTTAATCATAAACCTAGAAACGCCTTGGAAAGTCCACTAAGTTCACCATTGGGTACGCCGTCCGGAAGTCCTATTTTGCCCCGTGTACCCCAAAAAATATCAATTGTACCTTTTGAAGAGGATATTTCCTAATAATATATAAAATGAACGTTCGACATACTTAAATTTACTGTGCTGATGTTCATAATCGTATGCTCTCTGCTCGGCTGGAAAATTTAAAATACTGTTTATTTGAACATAAAACTGTTTCCCGTTTCAACCCTTATCCAACATTGAACAAGGAACACACAAAAATAATCGGAAATTAATATATCCTCAAAAACAACAAGTAGGCATAGGTCTAGGTGTTTGCTGACCTTGCCAATGCTATACGAGTGTATGTGAGTGGACCTGATGGGAATTAAATTACGGTACATCAGGCCTACGAGAAACATATTTTTGATTTTAGCTTTTTAGATTAGACACAATAATAATAATAATAATAATAATAATAATAATAATAATAATAATAATAAAAATAATAATAATAATAGTAATAGTAAAAATAATAATAGGAATAATAATCAAACACTTTTAATGCGCCAGTTTAAAAAAAAATCAAAGGCGCAATTTACCCTTAGAGGCTGTTAAATAAATGTTTTTAAATTAAAAGAAAATCAACGAGACCTTCCATGTTTCCGTAATACTTGATTGCTTCAGTTACATTATAAAATTAATTTGCTGTAATCACCCTCCCATACCTACTTATCATGTTCATATCCGGGTGAAAAGATTAATGAATTGAGTTTTGAATGTTAAGTAGGGAAATAATAATACTGTAGGTCCATATGTATGCAAATGAATACGTTTTCATAGCAAGGAAAGAGGCTTAACGTTTGTGTTTGTTTCATTATTATTATTATTATTATTATTATTATTATTATTATTATTATTATTATTATTGTATTATATTAAAACTATTGCTGTTACGTTTATTAATTGTTACTATACTGTATTACTGTTACTATGTTGTTATACTGTATACCGTAGCTATTTTTACTGTTATTTTGTCCACTTATATAGAACATATTGTCTCTAATTCTGCGCTTTGTTGCAACATAAATTACAAAAATATTATACAGGTCTCTCTCTAATTAAAAGTCCTTTCCAATTAGAGACCCTTCTAGTTAAAGACTTCTGTCATCCCTAAATTAACAAATGCCTTTTATCTTTATTATTCTTATTGAAGACCAAAGCTGCTAAAGACTGAAAACCCTGATCCCAAACGTTGTCTTTAGGGAGACTTGTAATTAATTTGGTTGATGAACAGGCATAGTTTGATTATTTCAATAAGCACTTTCTTAGCTTTACATTGGAAACTAAAATGAGAACGTATTTTCTTCGCTAATTTCATAAGGCGTAATCAGTTTCTATTCATCGCATAGACCCGTGTTTTCTCGTATACCGTAATCGTTCGTAGTTATGTATGCCAGAGAGCAGCTGCTGTGTTTGGAGTTTAGAACTCGTTAGTTTAAGCCTGCTTCCATAAAATCGCTGCAGTGTTTTCACTGCAATCGTTGCACTGCTATTCCCGACATAATCGAGAAGGTTCAGCGATTCAACAGACCAATCAGCGTCTCCGATGTTGGCGATAGCGTGTAACAATTTTATGATGGAAATTAGGCCTTTAAATGCATTTTTAGGATTTTACGACAGAGAGTATATCTTTAATAACTTTCCTTATGGAAATAATGATGCATATTTAAATTATATACAGTACTAGAATATTATAATTATTAGATGACAGTATTGAATTTTAACATAAATCACATTCCTATTTCAATAATAATAAATAATACATTTTGATACCTGCTTTTTATTAGTGTAGATTCTTAACAAAGCAAAAGATACAATTTGTAGATATTGTAAACAATAGTTTTTATTTCGCAAATACTTATCTTAGCAATCTAGATTTAAAATACACAGTTCATCATACTGCATCTTGTGAAATAAATATTTTAGATAATTTTTTTGTGCATTTGCTTTAGTTTACTGTGACCATATCAGCTTGCGACTATCAACTTCATCCAGTTGTCTTTGGCGTGATATTTGTGTATGGGACACGTGTGGTCTTCAAAACCTACCGAATGCAGTGGCGTAGAAAAATATTTTTCATCGGGGGATGATTGGCGTGTTGACCAGTGTCGTAACAGGCGCGGGGGGGGACTGCCCCTCCCCTGACGGTTTTGACCGGGCTGACCAAGCCGACGTACCGGGCTGGGTAATAAGAGAAAAGAAAGAGGGGAGAGGGAGGGAAAGAGAAAGAAGAGGAAAAGAAAAGGAAAGAAAAAGAGAAGAGAAAAATAAAGACAAGAATAAAAAGGAAGTTATCATAATGACCAGACTCACAACACCCTGCAACCCCTTCTCACCTTCAAAAACTGTCATAACTCCTTTGATATATGCTGCCTGCCCGATGGCGTAACCACTGGGGGACAAGGGGAAAATATCTATCTTTGAAAAATCTTCCCCACCCCTTTATAAATACCCTTTCATCACCTGAAAGTGCCTAAAAACCTCAAATTTCGCGCGCATTTCTTGTTAACATGGCCCAATTTCCTCTAAAAATTGCACATTTTATGGAGTTTTCATCAATTCCGACGAAATTAGAATTAAAAACAAAATTATTTTGCGCGCTAGGCGCGCATTTTTTAGGGTTTTTTTTTAAAAAGTTTTATCCTTTTAAGTTATTTAAACACATAATAGTCCCAAACTCAAGCAAAAATTTAAGATAGATCATTTTAACCTAAAAGAAGGGCCTCAATGTGTATAGATGGTGAATGAATATGTTTGTAATAAATAAAACCATGATGAAAATGCTTATATTTAGTTTCAAACACACGTGTGTGGCCTATATTATAAATAAGATAAGCCCTATGTCGTATTGTTTTCTATATGGGGAGTGGGGTGNCTATATGGGGAGTGGGGTGGGGTGGGTATGGTAAATTACTAACCGGGAAATGAGGATTGTATGTTAAC